ATAAGGAAATGTCCGATTTGAATGATTTTTTACCATTTTATAGCTATTATTTTACTCTCTAACACTGTATTAATAACTCAAAATCGATTTTTGCGACGAGTGACTGGTTTGGCTTGTCTTTGCCACATTTGCCTGTCTCTGATGCTTCGTTTTAACCAGTTGTTTTAACCCCAATTGCTTTTTGTGTTGTTTTATTCCTATTAATGTTCTTGTTTCCATTCGGTTGTCCTCCACTTTTCCCTGTTGTCCCTCTTGTTTTAATTGTATACAATATTTTATTTTCTGTTGATTTTTATTTGGTAATTTTTTTAATGTTCTACTTCAATTTGTACTTTTTAAGATCAAATTGCAATAAGGTATTATCGTATCGTAATGTAAGGTATAAAAAAAGTCGCACCTAAGCATTGTTCGTTCAGCCAGAATTCAGATCAAGAGAATGAGTTTCCACAATCGTGATTATAGTGTCAAATTCGTCAAATATACTTTTGATGGAGGAACATTTAAACAGTAAAATGGTAGTAATCCTATAAGAATCCTCTTATTTACAGTTTACAGTTATATTCAGTTTTTAGTACGTGTATATTGTGTTGTCATGTAAATAAATTAGACCAGAGCGTGAGACACACCTCGAATGCATGAGCCCTGGCGTGTATGTAGCCTGGCGTGATGTCAAGTGGGCCTCTGAACATCAGATTTATTCTGTAAGGGTCGCCACACTCAAAATATGTTTTTAAATAAATAAATAAAATGACACGGCTTCCATTACTGAGTGGAACCCTTGCGCCTATTTATCGATGCTTTACTCTTGCCTAGCTAATCATTACTAATTATATTCACTAGTCACACCGCTCACCTCACACCACCTCCACACTGTGGGCGATCTGCAGTGCTGGTCATGAAAGATGACGTCAGTCATGCACGTCATTCTGGCTCTTCAATGGGTGATGGTGATGCAACGCCATTTACCGTACCTTAGCAAATTGAAGTAGAAATACGATGCCGTATCTCTAGCCACAGCGTATTTTATAATTAAAATATTTTTTAATTCATATATTAAGGAATATTACAAGTATCGAATGTTTAAAAAAAAAACCATGTCGGCCCACATGAATCACATTTCAAAACACTGTATGAACATGCTCCGATGACGTACCATACAATGTATTTCATCCAGCAAACCTACTCACTCCCACCTGAGCAAGGTTATCCCTATAGGCTATCCCTATATACAACAGGGGCGGATTTAGGGGGGGGGGCCGGCCCGGCCCCCCTTTTGGGAGGTAAAAAAAGAAAAAAAAAAGAAAAAAAAGAGAGAAAAAGGAAAAAATGATGGCCAAGAATGCCTCAAATGTTAAGCAAATTTAGGAATTACGCCAGTAGGCCTATCCATGTTTATACACTTCCAAAATGAAACTAATAATAGGCCTAGTACTTTACCAATGAAATTGTATCTCCGTGCCAACTTGGTGGGTGATTCTTTCCGTTCCACTGAGTCACCAGACTTATGTTAACTCGGCCAAACGGTGTGGGTGGGAACGTCGACGTTCAATGTAAACAAAGAAAAGGTATACAATTAGAAGAGGGAGATTAGAATTAGTACAAAAACAACACAAAACAGTCTACGTTATAGTAGGCCTATTTTGAAAAAAAAATGTAAACTTTTCACAAATTCGGCCAAAAAACAAACGTTAAGACCAGGCGAATTTTTATATCTGGGAACCCTGCACTAATATATAACTGTATGGTATCTGTATCCCGATCGAATACCTCCCGATCGAATACAGTGCCTCCAGATCCTGTATCTCTATGGTATGGAACGCCATACTGGACAATTGAGAGAACAGCATATCTCAGTTGCTTAAAACTGGTGATAGGGCCGCTGTCTCTGAGAATAGGTTAAAGTTAACGCTTTTTAGTTGATTAGAAAAAGTGTGTGGTGAAAAAGTCAGGTAATTTGGCTGAGCCTGTGGCACACAAAAGCAAAATGTAATGATGATGCTACATACTATAATGGACGTCGTGTTTATAAGATCACCGAGATCACCCATGGTAAACAATGGCTGTTTAAATATGTTTAAACTAGGGCCTACTATATTCGCACGCTCCCAAACTGCTATATTCATCACCAACATGTGTACTCTGTGTGGCCTCAACGACCTGGTTGCTAAACACGCCCATCTCTACCTAATTATTCGGTTGGGACAGGCCAAGGCGAGTTTCGTCGTGTTGCTTCCTCTTGTATATAAAGGGACAGTTACTTATCGCCGTTGGAAGGAAGCATTTCCAGCGATTTTACTCCTCTGATAGATAGCTGTGCGACCAGCGATGTGAATCCAATTATGCCAGAGGAACATTATGTATTTTGAGTGATCCGCACCAGTTTGCACATGAAACAACCCTATTCCACCCCCCCTTCGTCCGGCGTCGCCACGACGAGGTCGTCGGACTAAATATAATTTGCCTATCCAAATAACGTTATTTTGATTGCCAAAATCCCTAATATTTTGGTCTAAAATATTTGGTCCATGGCCTACTACTAACCATAAAAATCGATGGCGTAACTAGGTTATGATATATGGGGCCCTGGTTGAAGTGTACCGTCGGGGCCCCTGGTGCATGCAAATTGACCTTGGGGTTGGTTTTGGAGCAGGGGTCCTTCCGATTTTAAATAATCATTCATTTGGAAACAAATGCATGAGTAGGCCTACAAATTAATTTGAAAATCAAAGTCAGATTATTTTTATTAGTTGAAAACAAATTTAAACAAAATCCCAAACGTTAGTATGTTGAAAAGAATAAACAAAAATTCAAAAAATATTCATCCAAACCTTGATTGTGAAAATTTCAGAGATTATTTTATTAATATATGAACAGAAATTTCAAACTAAATTAAAGAAGACTAATGTCAGTGGTATGCCAAAAACTGCTCAAAGGCAAGTCCAAAATAAACATGAAGGTATATTGATCCATGCATAACTGATTTCCTTTGTAACCGGAACAGAGAGTGAAAAGATAATCTATTCAGATCTGGTTAAACTCAAATACAGCAGCACCTCAGGGATGTGTGCTATCGCCATTGATTTTCACGTCTCATCTGATGTAAAGTTAACTCATGTTTAGTGTAAATTAACCGATGAATCATGTAGGCCTATCACATGTTCAATTTCAAATGGCGATGAGAATGTGTTGAGGTTTACTTGAACAGTGGTACAATAATGATAATCAATTTTCGAAAGAAATATTCAGTCAGGGGTGGCGCCAGGATTTTTCCGACGGCGCGGGGGTGGGGATAGGGGAGAAAGCCGAGGTCCCCGGCAAGGGGGGGGGGAGTGGGTGTGGTCGAGCGTCGCTCAAAATCTTTCGAAGAAGAAATTATTGTTGATGACAATGGTCTAGTAGGTTGACAGGATGTTTCTCTCCCATTTTGTTCTCTCCTCTTTAAAAATTCACATAATTCGCGATACCTTCCCTTTAGCCTGAATTCATCCCTAAAAACTATTTCCTTACAGACATTAATCTTAGGAATTCTATACAATTTAGTGTCTTGTAACACTGTCTGATGTCAAACTTGACTTAAGTATGCAATAGTCATCGGGTTTTCCTAAAACACAAACTTTCATGTACATTTTTTTTCAAAAAAATATTGTTTATTTTTCACCAGTGGAGGTGTATCTCAATAGCAAAGTTAGTATCATGTGTTTTTATAATTCATTGCGTATTACATTACTTTGAGAAAAAAAATGTGTCCTAATGGGAAAATCGGGCCTCATAGCTCAGTTGGTAGGGTATTCGAACGGTAATCGGAATGACTTGCGCTCAAATCCACATTCATTTTCTAAAAAAATTATTATCATTGTTTATCACCATTCCAAACTTATCATAGGCTTTATAGAGTACCACATTCGTGTCGTCACGACGCCAAGGGGGCATGACTCCCTGTTGTCAACAGACGTAGGTTACCGTTCATTGCGCCTGAATGACTTCATATAAGCTTTCTGGAATAGGCATTTTAAAATCTAATATTTTACCATCAAAATGTACTAAAAACACAAAAGCTCGCATTATATTAGTTATCGAACACACATTTAATCATCAATTAAAATTTACAAAGAAAACTAAAATACCACATCTTAATAATCACGTTAGAAATTGGGATCAATGGTTTGTCAGTGAAGAAAATGGCATCCGGTTGAACGCTTTTTTTTGCAACGATAGCAACAAAGTAGCATCACATGGTATCGTGACGTAACACTGTAGTACTCTATAATATTTATTGCGTATTACGCATTATACCTTGAGAAAAAATGTGTCTAATGGGCCAAGGGTGTATACCACGTTAGAAATTGGGATCAATGGTTTGTCAGTGAAGAAAAATGGCATCCGGTTGAACGCTTTTTTTGCAACGATAGCAACAAAGTAGCATCACATGGTATCGTGACGTAACACTGTAGTACTCTATAATATTTATTGCGTATTACGCATTATACCTTGAGAAAAAATGTGTCTAATGGGCCAAGGGTGTATACCACTTGGCCTCACAGCTCAGTTGGTAGAGTGTCCAAACATTAATCAGAAGGTCTTCAATTCAAATCCCAATGGGGAAAATAAGTTGTTTCCTCAAAAATTTCCCCAAAACAGTATTGCTGAATGTAAGCAGCAGAATGAAGAGTAATCACCGAACAGTCAACAGTTCTGAACAACACTAGAAGCGTTAAGCAGCAACACTGTAGTCTGAGCAACATAAAATTCTGATTATTCATAATCGAAGGTGAGACCTGTCCCATGAAGGTTCTGCTGGATCACGGCATCAAACGCCTCGTTTTGAGCAACAGTGAAATGATTCTTCCAGTCACCAATTTGACCTAGTTTTACGAAAACAAACAGAAAATTACCATCAATCGTGAAAACATATTTCAGAATACTGTACTTAAAATTGTAATCTAATTGCATTCTTACCTAGCCACTGGATAATACCAATACATACATGTACACATCCTAATATGGACAGAACTTCTGAAAATGCAACACTGGATTCAAGTCCTATATTTTCAAAAGAACACCTTAATTTCAAAAATTTCCATTAAATTTCTCAAACCAGACCCTAATGGGGAACGCAGTTCCTATTGCTATATTTGGAATGTTACAAGTAATGTTTTATATATTTGAGTATTTTTGAAAGTTTTATCAGGGAGGAAGCAGGGTGGGGTTTGGGGTCCTGTTACAAAATGGCTACATGGTGTTTGCGATTATTCGATCTCTGACTATGCTAATATATATGTTTATAGTTCAAAGAAAAAGACCAATAGGTACCGATTTCAGGCTGAGTGCCATACTCCTAAATATACTCTGCAATGTTGAGTCTCTTGTTATGCCTATCACTCGGATATTTCACTATGTATGCAACATACTAATTTGAAAACAATTTTTGAAAAGCTTGGCATACACTTTTAAATGTTGGTCTGTCAGACCCAAAACAAAGTTTGTTCAGATGGCTAGGTAGTGTATTCTGGTGCATAGGATCAAACAAATCATGTATATCTCTGTCAGAAGCTGGATAAAACGTTAATTTAGCAAAAAGTCATTATCCTTATTATTATCAAAGAGAATGGAAAGATGCCTAACTTTGTATGCATGTAATTTGAGTTTGTGTGCGTGTTCGATACAAATGTCTTTTATGTGTATATCATCTCTTTTGAAGGATGGCCTCTAAGTCGAGGCAGTACTTCTGAGATTATGTTCCATTTTCAAAGCAAAACTGTGAGTTGGGCCTCTAAGCAAATTGAGATATTTTTTAAATATCTATGCGCTATACACAAATGGTATTATTGTTAATATATTACCTATCCATTCTATATCCTTTTTTAAGAGCTAAATTGTAATGTAACCTTTTCGAATGAATGGTGATTTTCCCATAGCTTTGGTCAGAAACTTGCCATCGGGAGTTTTCTTCTCAATGTTGTCATACGTCTTTTTCATGTTCTTCAATTCGGAATGGTGCACGACACGATCAAGTTCCTCGTCACTTAGAGGGCGTTCAAGATGGTCAGCAAACCTGATGATTGACCCTCTTGGATCCTATACATAAATTTAAAAAATTTTTATATATTGTAAAAGAATACACTTTAAAGAAATATAGTTCTTGATAAAGCTGTTCAGTGGCGGATCAAGCGGGGCCATGAGTTCCCGTGTGCCCACCCCTCCCCCCCTGTCAGTCAAGCAGAAAAATAAAAAAGAGGGAGAAAAATTTTAGTTAAAGAGAGGAAAGAGGAAAAAAAAGGAGAGCACACATGAGTTCAGTGGCAATCCAGGAGTGGGTGAAAGGAGAGCTCGATTATTTACCACTTATTTACACCAACCATGGTGGGGCTGAGTGGGGCGTGGCGGCGTGAACTTTGTTCACCCCGTCAGAAATTCTCTGGATCCACCCCTGCTGTTAAACAATCATAATGTTATTTAGACCAGAAGTACTTACCAGTGGCCAGCCAGAGGTCATCCTCAACCGACCCTATTAAGGAGTTTTTATATTATAAACATTTTTTAAAGTGCTGAGATTGTTGTCATGTCTTATATTGTTATATAGCAGACTAATACTGTAGCTACCTTTTATTCATTATGATTCAGTTTTTACTATTATTTCAACAATACTTTGTGAGGGTGATCCAGCCAGAGATACAAAGGGAACAATACATGACTACAAAGAATAACCTAGACATGAATATAAAGCTGAATAATTAAAATTCTATTTATAAAGATAAAATTGAAAAAAAAAAAAAAAAAAAATTTTTTTTTTTTTTTTTTTTTAATGGTCATTTGCATATCGTACCTTTTTCATATCCTCATACTTCATATAAAGGAAATTTGGTTCATGTCGATATTTCCAGAAACTGAGAATATGTGTAAAGAATCCACCACCCATCACTGGAAAGTAAACGTACAAGAGAGGTTTAATCTTTTGTAGCTTCAGGGCTTTCAATTTGAACAAATCTGTATTACAAGGGGCCTTTCAATTTCCGATGAGATGTAGGAGGCCATATTTCTAGGTTAAGTAAAGGGTAGTCCTTCGCTGTAGTCTCAAGAAATCATAATTTTGGCCAAAAGAATTGTGGTTAACTGGTGGGTGGATGGGGCATAGGTGTAAGAAACGTTAATTGTCAGCAAGGGGTTTAAACACTTGACCATGTTGAGAGATTTAATAGTAAACACTGCACCACCTGCTCTCAAATACCTGATTTCAAAAATGTTTCACTCAGCTATGTTCCAGCTTTAAATCAAGTTGCTTATGTCCCCTGGCTTTCTTTTGGGCATACAAGATCAGGCCCATCCTTTTCTGGACTTGGAGGGTTTCTTTTGCCCTGCATTCTTTAATTTAAAAAAATATAAATGCAAAGTGGCAACCTATCAATAGTTAGCTCTGCTTTCATCATTGAATGAAACCTTTACAGTGCTTACAATCATCTTGCTTTATCCATTCCTCAGCATGTACATTCCAGTCTGATTGGACCAACCTAGACATCGCATGGTATAATGATACGCAACAATCTTTAGGGTTTCTGGTTACATAAATCACCTGAAATGAAACAGTACATACCTATTGTTTAACTATCCCCATTAAAGACTTCAAGTAAGTTTGAACATGAATATGTGAAATGTGCATTATTCTGCCCTTCCTTAATACTCTTGTGAAAAAGATTGATTTCTGTCTGCATTGGAAAATACCATCAGACAGACTACAGTAAGTTGGTATGTACACTTTGCTATGTGATGGATCATAAAGTTTTGAAAGAGCTCGCACTACTTTATTTATTTTATTTTTATTTCATTTATATATCGCTCTTAACAAAGCGCCTCACATGATCGAGAACTAAACAACATCAAAGCATTGCAATCACAGACAGCACAAAACAAAGAGATAATATAACATGTCATAGAATCCGAAATCGACTCTTGGCACTCATGAAATAAAAACTTTTAGTTGTTTCTTAAAGAGTTGATGTTGCTGATGTTGTTTTTATTACTATCCAAAACAATCTTGTCATGTGATTTCATGGTCATGGCGCTATCAAACTAAATGGTACTAGTACCTTAGGCTTCTTTGAGAAAACCTGAGAAGGGAGGAGTTGTTCAGGCAGGTGGGTGAGTATCACTCTACACCCTTCTAATGAGGCCAGCTTTAAATGAAAGGGTTCCAACAAAGTAAGGTTGCTTTTATCCTTTGGGTACGACATTTCAAGTGGAGCTTCCTGTCGACTACGGTCGATCTTTTCAGGATCACCACCAGTCAGAATTAGATTGATGATTTCAGCTGACCAGTGGGTGCCTATGTGAGAAATATGAATAGGTACATTTTAAATAGACTATGTCTGTTTGTAAAACAGAACAGAGGGCTTTTCATGATTAAAATTCAGGGGTGATGCCAGGATTTGCCCGACTGGAGGGCCAACGATTCCAGACGAGAGCAATGTGGGTGTGTTCAGGCATTGCTCAAAATCTTTTGGAAGTGGTCTGAAAATATGACAATTACTGGTTTCAAAAGCTTATTAATCAATTTTAGAGTCTATGTAGAAGATATCATTTTTTCCTCCATCACAAATCCTGCACCTCTGGCCCTCTACTGGCACCAATCTTGCTGCAATTCAAAATTAAGTGAATGTTTAATGGGTTTCAGATTTTACCAAATGTAATGTAAATCAAAAATTTTAAAAATCAAAACAGCCAAACAAATAGTCAGATAAACCAATATTTACCACATTTAGGAAAAGTAACCAAGAATATGTCATCCGGTCTGACTTCAAATGTTGCCATGGCGTCCAAGTTAGCAGGAGGTATAAAAAACTTGTTAAACTTAACCCCTTTGTAGTGATAGAAACCTTTCACAAATTCTTCTTCTAAGAATGCTTTTTCTGCCATGTTTATCTGAAGAAAAAGTTGAAACATTTATACACAATAATAATTAGTACTGTAATAACAAAACTAATGCAGTCATGGGATCTAGAAGTTTCCATTAAATTTAACACTTGACCAATCAGAAAGTGCTATTCAATAGGTGGGGTTGGGAAGAAAAAATATATAAAAAGAGGGAAAAAGAAAAGGAGGAAGATGTATGGACTCCAAAAAACAATTTTAACTTCTATTTAAATGTAATGTATTGTGAAGCATTTCTTGTTAATTAACCACAACACACAAACATGATTGCTTTTACAAATATTAGTAATCAGCATTAACTTTTATTATAATACAGAATATTTTTAGGATTTGTGCATATAGATTTCTTCAATCAATATAGACTGAAATAAATAAGTGTGTTTTGCATTATTATCATTTAGTAATTAAACAAAATAGTACACTATTATTTCACAAATATCAGTAAATTCATCTGTATAAGGATTTTTAATGGACCTTAATTTCCAGAGTATCAATCACAAATAACAACTAACCAATCAGAACTGAGCCAGCAATATGCTACAAGTCTAAAAATATCAAAAGGGCAGACTTGGGCTTGTTTCTGCTGAGCAAAAAAAACACTTGTTTTTAAACGGTTATTAAAAAACACGTGTTTTTTCCCCAGTAGAAACAGGCCACAAAACAAAAACATGGTTAGGAATGCGTTCTAAAAATGCGTGTTTTTACACGCTTTCGTTATAGGGTTCGCATTCAGAAATATGCATGTTTTGTGGTACACTTTTCAGTCATGACCCGTAGGTGACCCAAATTGACCTCTTCGTTGGTTTGACTGCTTGTACGCAAGAAATTTGGGGCGAAGAAAAAAATTAAACCAATAGAATGACATGGTTGAAGATCATACCATACTTTTTCATACTTTCGTGGTGTGTTGTTTACTTCTTTCGCAGCATGCGCACATGTAGCTCGCAATAGGTAAGGTCGGCTTCAACTTCCGTTGGTGACCATCATTTAGGCTCCGCCCACCCGTTTTTGGCGTTATTTAGCAGAAATACGCCCATAGAGGAATTGTACAGTACAAGTATTCCTATTTATATTATCATATTTTATAATTGATTGTATAATTATTTATATCTTTAAACAAAGTAACTATATTACTTTTATTAATTATGTTTTGTTACTTTTTTGTATTTAACTGAACCACTTTGGCAAAATCAGTACATTGTATTGAAAGTGTATTTCAGAATAAAGAAAGAATAAATAAATAGATATTAAACTGTTTGCAGATTAAAGCCCACGTCCCATACGATTTAGAAATAAAGTGAAACACACTGCAAAAATGAAATTGTTTCCACAACTAAAGCGCAATTGAGCAACACATCACGTCTCATTGCGCGCGCCATACAATATGCTTCATCCCACCCTACTTGTTGACATTCTCGAACGCAGGAGGGCCTAGTCAGTAAAAAACAAAAAAAAAACCAAAAAAAACAAACTAAGCCAGCCTAATCTAGCCTATATATTTAGGTTTCAACACTCTTATTTCCAAGAGTATCATGCAATGCGACAATAATATAGTATGGTACAAATGAAATCGTGTCGTACGTACACTCCGTAGCAACTTGATGGACGGTATTTCTGTTCCGCGAGCGACTTATCTCTACCGGTATGGAAGGCCATTCTGGAAAATTTAAGGGTTTCATACTGATTCATCGACTGGTGAGTTTGCAGGGCGTTAGCCCGTACACTACCATCACTAACACAATGACATACTATTTTCTATTAGAATCGAGTCAAATTGCCTTCTACTCTAAATTAGCTTCAAGTTAAAAAAACGAAGTGTTTATGTGCCTCTTTAATAATAATAATAATAATAATAATAATAATAATAATAATAATAATAATAATAATAATAATAGTAATAATAATAATAATAATAATAATAATAACATTTATGTAGCGCATAATGCCGGAACTTCTATGAGCTTAACATAAACAGAAAAAAGAGTGAAAAAAGTAGAACTTTAGAAATAAACTAAATATCTAACCAACACCACAATGAACTGTGAACAAATTACAAAATATGATTATATAAAATCTTCGTAACCACCCTTCTTATATAGTTCTACCCACTTTGGAAAAATCTGTATCTTATTAGCTGTCTCCGAGTTTTTCGTTAATAAATAGCCTTTTAATGTCTTTAAACTCTCAATTTGTTTTCCTCCTCCAGAGAGACTTTTTGAAAATAGCTTTTGCATATAAGCGTTGTGGGCTTCAATCTCGTCCTTTAATTTACTATTTATTTGATAATCATACGGTACATTTAACAAAAACTGATGGAAGCCCAATAAACTTAAAGGCATCCGGCACGCCTCTGAATAATGATAATTAGTTTCAGAATAGATAATTGAATACAACATAACACGGATAGGCCATATGCATTGAAGGCAAAACGGGAGGAGAGGGCACGTGCCCCCGTGTGCCGCCCCCCCCCCCCTTTGCTGGATCCGCCCTGTGTGTGTGGTGGATGCATGGTTAGCTAATTTGTCTGACCCTGTGGCACTACAAACGCAAAATTGTAATGATGCTACATAAATTTACTGTAGCACGTCGGCGTTTACAAGAGATCACCGGATCACCCGTGGTAAACAGAACTACATACTGTATTCGCACGACGTAATTCACCTTGCTAGTGAGTTAACATGTTTACTCTGTGTGGCCTCAACGACCTCGTTTTAACACGCCCATCCCTGTAACATATTCGATGGGTCAGACCATGGAGGTATTATTATTATTATTATTATTATTATTATTATTATTATTATCAATAATACCTCCATGGTCAGACCATGGAATGAGTTTTTTTTTTCGTCGTGTCAGGAACATTATGCACTTTGAGTGATACGCACAGTTTGCATATCTAACAACTCTACTTTATCCGATCTCACCCCCCCCCCCCCCCCATATGGCGCCAAGATTCGACGAGGTCGTCGGAGCAAATATAATTTGCCTATCAAAATAACGTTATGATTGCCTAGCCTAATATGGTCTAAAATAATATGTGGTCCATGGCCTACTAATAAGCCAAGCTTCCCGTGTGAACCAACCCAGGATCTTTATCCCGGGGCTCTGACCCGGGACAGCCCCTGCGGGACATGTCAGAACCACCCTGTCGGAAAAATTTCTGGTAAGACACCACTGCCTCAATGTAACAGTTTGACAAAGAATACTCTTAAGTTAGGACTCTCTACATTGGTTTTCGTCTGCATTAATACAGAAACTAATAAACATAAAAGGTTGATACATAACTCTCTGATTTCTTTTGTAACCGGAACAGAGAGATAATCTCAAATACAGCTGCACGACCTCAGAAATGTGTGCTATCGCCATTGCTTTTCACGTCTGAGATGTAAATGGCCATGAGAATAGGTAAACATTCTTAGACATGATAATGATATTCAGTTTTCAAAGAAACATAGGCCTACAGCAAAAAATTAATGTTAAAAGCAGGGGAATGTAGATAGGACTAGTGACAAAACGATGGGCGTTGGACGAAAATTTAAATGGAATACTAATAATAATAATAATTTCACTGTTCCCTGCTAAAACAAACATTCATCGAATAAAGGTTAACGAAAGGTTATAGGCCTATGTCTTGTAAACTTTAACGTTGGTACAGAATGATACCAGATACAAGACAAAATTTGTTGAGTCTCTTAGAGCATGTTAGATAGACTCTTTGTATTTTGCGCTCTATAAACGGAAAACCATTAACCATTTGTTGTCTCCAATAAAAACGAAGAAATTACTAAAAAAAAAATTTACAATTAAAAGAAAAACCACATACAAATTGATCGAGGATACAAAGTATTAACATGAAAATTCCATAAAAATCCGCTGACAAAAGACATAAAAATATCTAAAATATTAAAAGGCTACAATATTTAAAGATAATGATAGATGATGCTCTTCTACTGTTTTACCAAAGCATGCAACCGGTCTTTAGCGTTGTAGCATTAACTGGGGCATATGGGACTGACCATGAAATACTGAGTTTCTGAATAGGCTAACTAGGTCAGCATGTACAATCAAAGGTACTGAAGTCAGCGATGTAGGCCTAAGTATATACTTAATAAAACATAACATAGCATAAAAGACACCCTATCCATTTAACAAATTCATCCGTTAGCAACTCCGACAGGATTGTTCCATGGGCTTTGAAACGCACAACCGCCATAAACACTGCTTCTGTCCATGTGCAATAGAGTTCTTAATGAACACTTCAGCAGATAATCACAATCAAAACTTACTAACATTTTCAATACCAGTACTCTATAGAGCCATAATCTTTTATGTCACAAATATTGTCTTGTCTTTCAAAGTTCTCAAGTAGTAAATTAAGTCAATTTATGTATCAACTCAAAGAAAAAATGTCATATCCCTGTATGTATTTTATATGACAATGAATACCGGTAGGGCCATAATCAATCTTGAGTCTTGAATCTTGAGGTTGTGCCCATGGATATTTAAAAATTGATTATAATGAATACCATTAAATATTAATGCATGAATACTTAGATTATAATCTGAAAACTATTAAATGTTAATATATAGGTGCAACATTTAACATATATGTCTATGTCTATATGCATAATAGGCCTATGTGTGTATATATATTTAACGTGGCTGGATAGACATCCTTGTTTTTATGAGTTTGTATAAGCATCAGTCCTTGTATAAGGGATTTTGAATTGTTGTTTGTGTCCTCGTCTGGCTCTGGTTGGTTTTGGTGCAATAGTCCTCGTGGTAGTTAAATTATCATGTCACCGTTTATGTCCATCAGGCCATGAGAATGTTATGAAAGCAAAAGAAGGTCTAGAAATGCATAAGCATCCGTACTCCAATTGAAAAACAAAACAATGAGCCAAAATGATCATAGCTTCTCTTGTAATCGAGTGGTTCATAGAAATGTATTTATTTCCACTAAAACATTATCCAGTATCATGTGTTACCATACTATCATTATTTTACCTTTCTTATAACTAAATATAAGCCACCCTCCATTTACAGAGTAATTGAGTGACCCTTGCACACGCCGTGTCATCTATTAATCTCGAATGTTGTCGGCACATGTATAATAATTAAATCAAGAAATAAAAACACATTTTGTTCATCATGCTCTCTTGTTATCTGATCAAATGAAAATATTACAATATCATTTGGTATAAAATAAGCAGGGAAAGGTTCGAATTACTTTCCTGGTATAATCAGGGAGTTGTTATAGTGACAGTTTAACCAGGGAGATGTAAAATGGTCTCCCTCACCCTCTGTACGAGCACCTCCCGTAAAACATCACCTCATCTAGGACTTTTCTTCTGATTTACCTCCCGTAAGCAACCACCTTAAAAAGTTTGTAATATCTTTACAAGAAATACAATCAGATCATTCTTTGTAAGTCCGTAAGTAACCGAAAATTAGACAAGGTGATGGTGCGCCATTAGGCGCGTCAAACTAAAAGGCCTAATTATGATTTTTATAGCAACACTTAGAAAATAATATAAAAGCGATAAGATAAAATTGGCCTACGCTTTCTCACGTCCAAGAAAATGCTTACAGTAAATACAACATGCTTTTATTGAGCTAATTAAAAATAGGCCTTCATCGAAGAGATACCCGTGGGAAAACAGAGAAGAGCGAAATCTCCACCAAAAATTTATCTTATTTACACATAACGCTCAGGCTAATTTTTTTTGTTTTTTTTGTTAGAGTTTTATAGAAATTAACGTTGTGAAACCTCTAAATGTTATATTTTATCACGTAAAATAGCTCAAATGCTCAACATGCCCTTAGCCCCAGACCCGACCTTGTCGGCCCTCGCCCAAGCATAGTTGCTCGCTGCTCTCGCAAGGCTTGACAGTTGACCCTATACCCCAAAATTTACTCTGGCTACGCCCCTGCACAAATATTAATGTACGAGTAAAAATGTTATGATTTTTTTGTGTTTAAAAGCAAATTATATTAACAACAATAATCAAGACAACAGAAACATTTCCATATGGATCAACATCAAAGTGTAAACAAAGCAAGCTCAAGTTAAAAATACCATAGGCTTATTATATATAGTAGGCTACCAGGGGTGGTGCCAGGATTTGCCCAACGGGGGGTCCGACGACGTCCCCGACGAAAAAAGTGGGCGTGTTCGGGCGTCACTCAAATCTCCCGAAAGTGTTCCAGGGGGCGAAACCCCGAAAAATATGACAATTCAGGGGTATCAAACTAATATGTAGAAAATACAATGACATCTTATTTCTCCCCGACGAATTGTGGTTTTTCTTCCCGGTGGGGTGAGGGGACAACTCTCCCCGACGGAAGCCCGCACCCCCCCCCCACTGGTGACACCCCTGCTCAGTATACATACAATTTTTTTTTTTTGCGCCATGAGCGCCTTTGATGGATACTGGTGCATTAGCATTATAAAACATTATTTCCCTTCCTTCTTTATTTACTTAGGTCTATAATTTATTTATTTACTAAGTATTTATTTAACATAAAACAAGATATAATATTTTCACTTCTAGTTTATTGATGACAATTATTTATAAATGGATATTTACCGTACTATTCATTACTAAATTTATTCTTGTCCAGTACTTTAGGTAACTTATAAAAGAGCCTATATAATATATAATTAGGCCTATAGGTGACATTATTTTGATTAAGCAGGAAACAGTTTTGCCATATAGGCCTATTGATAGTATCATTTTGTGATATTTGTATAACGCAATGTAGTCAATAACAAATCTTTAATAAATTCTATCTCGTTTGATAAAACGTTGTTGTAATTCCTTAAACATGTTGTGATATTTTATTTAAGCTTTGCGTTTGCAATAAAAGAAGGTGAGATACGGTAGTGAAATAAAACTGTAAATCCGGGAGCAGTGAAAATTACTTGCAGAAACAGACCATCACGGCTCCCAATTTTCAATTCATAATATTATACACACATGATACTTTCCAGAATAATAAATAATGATGTTTCTTTAGTGATTAGAAGATAATATGGCAACACATGATGGATAAATGATAAAGTTTTACTGGAAAAAATACATTTCTAGGTACACTGGATTGCATAGTTAAGGGAAGCTATGATCATCCATTGTTTTGTTTCGCATTTGGAGTACGCCCAGTTTTTAATTCATAATACACAAAAAGAATAAAATGTTGATACAAACAACTCCAAGCAGCCAAAACCTATAATTGTAAGCAACAAGACAAACAACCCATTGTGTACTCCCCACCTTACAACGGCATAGTCCATTGTTGGGCTTTAGACAGGAGTGGCTTTGGACAGAGTGCACTGATTAAAATTGGGTAGACCTAAATGTTTATGTTCAATACAAACAGCCAATTTTGTACCGTTTCTTACGTTATTTTTTAATATTTTTAATTTTAAGTATTTTCTTCAATTTTGTTTGTCTTTTTTTAGTATTTATTGTTAGGGGAGTTCAGCTTTTTTTTTGGGGGGGGGGATAGTGCCTAGTCAGCTTCCTGACTATATACGCTATAACGAAAGAAATATGTAGTGGAATAAAAGTATGAAGTGGCCTCTAAACAAGCTGTTATTATTAGGCCTAGTACTGTACACATTAAGAAAAAATATCAAACCATGGTAAAACTAATTCCTCAATGGTACAGGCATGCTGGTAGACGTATATACAATGTTAATTTTATATGGTACAATCATAAACTAATTCATCCATGGTGACTGGTAGACGTATACAGACTGTTATTGTGCAGGAAGCGGTAACTGTTTCACTAGCAATTGGCAGAAAACAAAGACATTTATAAGACTATTTGATTGGTCGGAACTAGCGGGAAGTGCTCGGATTGGTTTATAACATTGTGACGTTCCCTATTGTATAAAATTTATATAACAGGTAGGTTGGTGCATGGAGGAATTATTTGAGTACAGAGTTCAAGAACCAGCTGGGGACAATGCAAGCTATCGAAGCAGCATAATCAAGATGTAGCAACTATGAATCCGCAACTATACAGTCCAAGGAAGAGGACGCGCGCAACAAACATTTAATTATAAAGGTAGGGCCACTGATTTTGAATCCTTTCAAATGTCAGCACATACCAGGGAGGATAGCACCTTCACCTTATATAGGGCCTATAAGCTGTGAGTTGTAATTAATGTATAATAAGACTCTGGTTTAAGCAAGGACTATCCTTTGCCCACGTGCTTGAATTGAAGAATTGTTATAGGAGGTTACCGAATTTCTTTTGTTAATGATATTTTTAATAATACATGGTAGATAGGTACATTATCCACAGACCCTATATGATGTTAAATTTGTTTACTTTTTATATACTGGCCACTTTTATCTTATTAGCCTAGCCATTTTATCTATGTGATAGGGGATTTATGAATGATCGGTGAAGAGTCAATTAAATAATTGGAATTTTTTCTAGTAGATAAGGCAAAAACAATAGAGGGCTTTGTGACTCTGTTTTGACCTCGACAGAGCTTCCATCAAAGAGTGCTACCAAAGATGGTGCTACAACCTAGCTCAGCCTGTCTCATTAAACTTATATAAAAGGTGTGGTATGGTAACAGTGATTGTTGAGGTTAAATAACAAAGATGTTTCCTAGAATCTAGATAATCAGGTAATCTACGCATACACACAAGCAGTAGGAAGGAGTGTAGGCCGATGCAGGAATGCTATTATAGGAAAGAGGGCAGTACCAGTACTACAGTAGTAGTAGTAGTAGGCCTAGCCTAGGCCTAGTAAGTAGTAGTGTAGAGGAAGAAGGCTTAGGCTAGCCTACCTTGGGCCTAGGCCAAGCTAATAGGCTAGGCCTACTTACTTCTACCGCCTAAGCCCTACTACTACTACTACTGGCCTAGGTACTATAACCCTAGGCCTAGTGTACCTAGGCTTGGTATTCAATTCAATTTTATTTTTCCAATTTTAAGAAATTTTATTTTTGATATTTTTGATTGATATTTTAATTTTGTACAAATGAACATTCTAAATAATAAGTTTCTTGTACAAATAAACATCCTAAATTAAAAATGTCTCTCTTATTAGCTCTTCCAAAAAAACCCCACTATTATAAGGCCAATTTAAAAAATATACTTGTTTAGTGTCAACCCCTCAACTCAAAAATTTTCAGGGGTGGGGGAAGGGGGGCATGTTTTTTTTTTTTTTGCTCCAAGATTTTTTGCTTCAAGATTTATATCTCTGCACAGCATTCGGTTTCAGATTATGTCACCGTTTTGGCTTGTACGTAAAAGAAAGTCTACAATTGAGTCGGTACATCTTTTTTAAACATTGAGAAACACATTTGATTCATTTATATACGCAGCCCATGAATTGCCACAGCAAAGAATTGCATTTGCAATATTTTTTACTGTATGAAATGGGTGGCAAGCCAAAACTTTGACTGAAACTGGCCTTAGAAACTAAAATTTACGTACGTCGTCAAACCAAGGTACATAACAGATTTGTTTGTACAATATTTATTTTTGGCAAGGCCTAGTCTACGTACGATTGTGTGTGTGAATTGGCTTGACTTTCGACTAGGGGGGCCTAGGTAGGGCTAGCCGCCTAGCCAGGCCTAGTCATTTGGTACTGTAGCTAGGCCTAGTTACTAGCCACCTAGGCCTGAAACATCGGCCAATTGAAGCTACGTAGCTGCCTAGATCGTAACACTATTATTTGTCTTGTACTGTAGAGTATTATCATTTTCAAAAAAATTGTTTATTATCTAAAAAAACAACCAAATTAAACAGGTACTCTAGTACCCGATTCACACGTGAAGTTAAATTTAACAAAAAGTAACAAATTGTAACTGAGCGATCTCCCGAGTTATTCCTACCGAGATAAAAAGCATTTACACGCGTCTGTAAGGTAATGCCAAGGTCGTGTAAAATTTACTCGGTGTTTATTCATTGAATCATTTTTTCACCTACTGCGATATAGGTCTAGCTTAGGCCTAGTTGAGAACCCCTGTCACAGATGGACTGTTGAACTCACCATCACAGTAAACATTCGAAGCAATCAATTGCTGTACTACTACTACTACTACTACTAAACTAGGCATAGCTTCCAACGTTTCTGTCGACTCTTGATAATACTAGTAATAGTACTAACACCATCCTGACGTTCATTTTATGTATATCTTCTTCTTCTACCATTACTAATTAGCATCAATAACAAGGGTAATTCATTCATCATTGAGAAAAACTAGGCCTATCTATTTCTAGTGGATCAGAATCGTCTGCAGAAGGAAGAAAATTCAAAGAACCCTGTGAAACACAGTAGATTGTTGTTGTGTTGAAAATCCCTGCGCATGCGCAGATCCATCCATGCTACATCTCGGAAGCTTTACCAGCCTCTGCGAGGCTGGTAAAGATTGCCGAGACGTTCCGAGATTTCACAAGGATATTACATGGAGGTACTTTCACACGTGCCGTAAAATGTTACTTTTGGTTACATTTTGTTACCTTTGGTAAGATTTTTGTACGTGTGAATTGGGTATAGACCTAAGTAGGCCTACATAGTACTACCGATGTCTGTGACAGTCAGAGCTATTAAACAACTAGAGTGCTGACAAGATGGCGAAGCAATGCAGAGTTATGTATGTGTACCATCCAATATGGCCGCCGAAGGAAAGCCCCCCCACCTTCAGGCTTAGTATACATATTACCATAAATTAGCCCTCTGGCTGACTATTATTTCATTAATGATAATTAGTATTGATAATAACAAATTAAACTATCGTAGCCAAAAAGAGGCCAAGTAGAGCCTGTGACTGGTGAGCGGTCACTCTTCTGTTATTTCCAAAAACAATAGGAACATTATATTAAATAAAAAAATGTAGATGCACAACAATTGTGGTACTTTTACTAATTTTACTTATAATACAGGTAGAAAAGCTCATTAATTTTTGGCATTGAAAATTTGAATTATTATGTGATGTTGAATATAATAATGTTCTTGGCAAGCCTACTGTATGCATAAATTAGAAAGGCATGAGATTTCGATAGCTAATTAACCAGCCAAGCTGGTATCGGAACAGAACAAAAGAAGCATTTGCTTTCAAGCTAGGAGTGGTTGTAGGCTTTTGGATAAAAATGAGAACCATTGTGTGGGCTTGGTATTTTAACAGGTAGATATTCATAGAGTTGACAGGGTCCTGTGTATGCAAGATTTGGCATTGGCATCAAATGTGGTTGGACCTTTATGTTATAAGTTGTCATACTGTAGGCTTGGAATGTGTTATGCTATATTTTATAATTGTCATAGTATAGTAGGAGTCTCGGACTGTTATGATTTACTTCTACCACATTACCTGATTTCTTGTGGGCAAGGTATCATGTAGGCCTACATGATGCTCATTACTTTCTACTGTACATTGTTTTGGAGTTCCATGCATTGTTCCACACTACCATCCATGGAGACGTAAGGTGCTAAGCACCACCATTGTAGGACTATTTTTGCTATGCCAGCTTTTGATTGTATGCGAGTGGTCACAAATGCAATACAATGGAGGTAAAAGACATTGTACAAAATAGAGTTGGACCAACACAATGGGCATTTTGTTTTGAGAACATACCGGACTAGAGGTCTTATGATGCTCATTACCTTCTACTGTACATTGTTTTGGAGTTCCATGCATTGTTCCACACTACCATGGAGACGTAAGGTGCTAAGCACCACCATTGTAGGACTATTTTTGCTATGCCAGCTTTTGATTGTATGCGAGTGGTCACAAATGCAATACAATGGAGGTAAAAAGACATTGTACAAAATAGAGTGGGATCAACACAATGGCGCGTTTTGTTTGAGAAAATACCTGACTGGATGTCATCTGATTGGTTCATATAGCTAAAAAAAAAATAAAAATAAAAATTAGACCGATTTTAAGAATAGCAGACAGTAAGAATTTACATTTAATGATGTTGGTACCTATAACGACTATGCATTCTTTGATTAAAATTGTGAGACACCAAATACACGCTATTTAATTCGTCTCACCATTTTGACTTTGCTGCCTCCTATGAAACAAACTTGTTCTGCTCACATGTACTGAATATTGCATTGTTGTAGGTTTAGCTGAGAAAGTGGTATTGAAACCAAACCGAAAATTACAGTTAAGAGCTGGTGTGTGCAGTATATAGCGCAAGATGCGAATACCAATTGTGGCGGCAGCAAAACTAAATGCAAATGAAGAAAAAAATTTATAAATGATACGGGGACAAATACATGTATTTTAAGGTAGGTGCATTGATTTGGCATATCGTTAAAACGCATCTAGATCTGATGTATGTACATATTACAGTACTATATATGAACTTTATACTGAATTTTTATGGAGAAATGTTAATTTTTGTCTAAGTGCCTTTCTGATCTTCTGAAATGGAATATGTGATTATGTTATGTTGGTTTTTTTTGTGTTATGTTATTTTGTTATGTTTTTTGCCGCTTTTCAGATGGAATTAAATAGCGTGCTGTATCCCATCTTTTCGACTTTGTCGCTTCTATGAAACGAACATGTTGTGCTCACATGTAACTGATTCTTGCATTTTTGTAGGTTTAGCTGAGAGTGGTATGGAAACAAACCAGAAATTACAGTATACCTTAGCGACAATGTTCAAATGCTGGGATTAGTGGAAAGGCCCATTATTTGAAAAGTAGAAGCATGTTTAGGTATGTTTACACGTATTTATTAGGAAGCTTTCAATTTGTGCGACGATGCGACGCTAGAACGGGATCACCCATGCGTGATCGTCCCACCTAGCGACTCGACGAGGTGACCTTAACGTTCTCGCATGCGCTGATGACTTTTAGTGACGTCCTTACGTTCTATGTCCTACCGTGGTCGTGCAATCTACAGCTCCCTATTTATAGGCCACCTTTTTTTGCATATAGGCGTGTATTTGTGTGATGAAGTGGGAATAGAATCTATAATACTATTGTATAATTTAGTAATACGTATAAACTGATAAAATTTTATCCTCGTATTGTTTCTACCATATATAAATTTTCATTAACTCCATTTTTAAGAATACAAGTCAATCTTGATTAATTTCTATGACATTCAGTATTTTTAATTGTTTTTTAAATACTGTAATCGTTTGTTTACATTGCATCTGATTCCTCTTATTATGAAACAAAACTTCCACTCTTTGTTTTGAGAGTTAACCCCTACACTTTTTCTAGACATTACCTACTAAAAATATGATTGTGAGTACTTTTAAATTGTAATTTAATGTTTCTTATGAGTGCAACCACAACAACAACAATTGTTGTTTATGGCAACAGTATGCTGCCATAAACTATAGTATATTCATGATTAACAAAATTTGTATTTATAGCATAATTTTGAAGCTGGTGAAATTAACAACTACCATGTGTTGAGATCGAACAAGATCTTCGAGACCAAATGCAGCAAAGACTAACGTGAAGGAATGCAGCAACACTTCGTCGAGAGAATAATGACTGTGATGACACTAGAGAGGGAGACAAGAACAAAAAGTAGCTTTAAGGTTGAGTCATTGATTTGTCATTCTGTTAAAGCTTGGTTGATGCATTGATAGAATTTGTATAACTTTGTGTAGTTTACTTTAGATATAAACTATAACCGAATTCTTCTTCCACTGGAATTATCTGTGTAGCCACCACGAATTTCACAATTTTCTTTGCATTTTTTTATGTGACATGCACAAGTTTGTTACATATTCCCCATTATCCTATGTAGCCTCAAAATCAAAGAAATGTTATTTTCTGATTATTTTCTTCATATTTTTTATCATATAATTTTTACTACTAAATTTCTTTATCATTAGAAATCATATAGCATTTATGGTCAAATCCTATTGCCATTAGTACACACAAACGATACTTGAAACTACCTAACCCATTTTGAATCGCAGGCCTGATTTTCCGATTACGCAAACGGTCGTTATTTACAAGGGAATTATTTAACGTAACACGCAAGTTGCATATTATCTTATGTATCCTCGAAATCAAAGAAATAACATCGTTAACTAATTAAAAGGTTCACGTCTTTCGAAACTAGCCTTAAGTTACCGTAGTGTTGACTAAGATACCATACACACCAACATCTATCCATCTATCCATTCTATCTATTCATGAATGGCTTTATCAATATACAGTAGTCGCCATGCAACACTGATTTAAAGTCTTCTCTCTATAATGTGCTTGCTCATCTACAGGTATCAACATACATACGTCGTGGTCAATTTGAGTTGAATTGAGATCCATAACAATCCTGTTGCACTAAACACTTTAGTTAAAATTTCATCTTCAACTAACATGGTTGATTGGCAGAATAAGATAGTCGTTGGACTGCTCAGATCAATCAAATGTAGGCTTGGTACAGCTGTAGATCATTCACGGGAATGTCTTCACCAACATGGTTGATTCATAGAATAAGACTATCGTTGTAGGCTTAGTAGATCGTGCCTTATATCATGCCTTATGCCCAGGTGTATCTTTATTTTTACCGGACACTGAACAAGAAAAACATTTACCATCCATGGGGTCTATCTCGTTTGTTAGTTTCCCCCAAGTAATCTCCGATAGGAGGTTGCAATTCTCCCGGGTTAGTAATGTTAGTAATAAAAAATGCAAGAATCTGTGTCATAGCAAAAAATACGATCCTGTTATTTACCTAGCAAATCAATTTTACGGTGTCGATCAAACTCAACCGTATCACCCTGGGTTTTACATCTATCAGGCCACCCAGAAGCAATTAATGTATCCAGAAAACAAACCCTCATATCCTTTCTCTCATACTTCGATTTTCTAACCGGGTTGTACAGCTTTCTGTAATTCGATGGTTTCGATACCCACGTACGTAAGTTCTCGTCGCAACTAAAACAAATGGGAAATAATAACTGATTGTAAACGTATCTTAATTATTCTGAAATAATCTTCATCTTTTGCAATCTACCCAGTAAGATTTTAGGATGACCTTATTATCATATGGATAAAGGAAGTAAAGTACTTTAGTTTTCTTCTAAGCCTACGTCATAGTAACCTAGAAAGTATTCTGCAGTCGGTTGAATTCAATTTGATTCATACCAATGTAGTTACGAAGAGCTTTCTAACCTTTGCAGTCTCTTGGCGGTGGACATCATGCCTATATCATGAAAGACCATCACCATGGTGGTTGTCGGATGTTTTCCTTAATTGTATGAGGAATCTTAACTCTCTGAATCGGTCTTCATACATTCGACCACATGCACTAACGTGCATGATAAAGTTCTCATAAGGTATATCAATATGCATCTGATTGTATTGATATAATATGTCCATCTTTACTTCATAATTTGAATTAATATTTCTGTTTCGCTTGAATTAATGCATTTTCATATTCTTCATTCAATATGATCATTAGGTTTAAAATGTCTTGAAAAGACAGAAAAAACAATCCTTTCGATCACTAGGATGTAGTGTAGCTGATGTAACTCACAAAGTAAGGAAATCATTTGAGCCGTAAGCAGATTATTCTAATCCTTCACGTCATGACCTTACGAATTTAGTCTGCAGATTTCAGCCGTAGGTTGCTCTAGAAGGGTTTGTCGAAAATCAGCAAGTTCAGTAGTTTTAAAAAGTTTGTTCTGCGATTTCTAACTGCTCTTCCATTTACATGAACTTAATTTGAGTTCTCGAATCATTGTTGAAGGTTGAACTAAGAACAAATGAAAAAAAAAAAGAAAAAAACTATGTCTCTAGATATGAATCGGACATATCTATACCCGGAAATGGATTCTTAAGATGGGGTCGATAACATTTTGGTCATCGTAAAAAGTGTCAATGAGGGACGATAAGAAAATACAAGAAAAATAGAAAGTTAAAATACAACACAATTGGGCTTTAAAAATGAACCCCTTATCGTGTTTTTCCGATCCGTATTGTACTATTTCGTTTTCATCGTCATCCGCGAATCGAATTACATAGTAATTTGCTATGCATCCCTAAACCTAATACGATCATTAGGTTTAAAATGTCTTGAAAAGACAGAAAAAAACAAATCCTTTCGATCACTAGGATGTAGTATAGCTGATGTAACTCACCAAGTAAGGAAATCCGTAAGCAAGTTATTCAAATCCTTCAGATTTCAGCCGTAGGTTCTAGCCAGTTCAGTAGCTTTACAAATTTTGTTCTGCGATTTCTAACTGCTCTTTCATTTTCATTAACTAAATTTGAGTTCTCGAATCATTGTTGAAGTGTGAACTAAAAGAGCAAAAATAAACTAAAGGAAAAACTGTCTCTAGATAAGAATCGGACGTATCTACACCCGGAAAGGGATTCTTAAAATCGGGTCGATAACATTTTGGTCACTCTATTCCCGATATTCGAAGACGTCATCGTAAAGAGTGTCAATTTGGGCCAATAAGAATATACAAGTAAAATTTATAATTAAAATACAACACAATCAGTTTTTAAAAATGTAGTCCTAATAATAAATCGCCATATCATGTTTTGCCGATCTGTATTGTACTATTTCGTTGTCATCGTCATCCGCGATTCTTGTTCGTTTTCATATATCATTTTCATATGTTTTCCTTGTCCATGTTTCCGTTAACATAGTATCAGTAGTTTGGTATGCATCCCTAAACTTAACATACCATGTCTTAGGATTGTAAATACTGCCTGCTCACAAGCAATACGTATATTCTCATCATTCTCTTCTTCATTGATGCATTAAGAAAAAATATTAATAGTTACTATAACACAACACAACATGTATAACACGAAAAGATTTAATTTAATTTTTGTTTCATGTACGACAGTTACATACATTGAAGTATTTTGTTAACTAGATTACCATTTTACCTTATTAATTCTAAAACTAAATGAAAATTATTTAAAGCCCATTCAAAATGGAGTGCCTTGTAATTAATAAATTTTAAACATAGTAAAAGTTGTTCAAAATCGATCTGACTTGATCGGTTGTTAATACAGCCGTAACAGTTTTCAGAGGCAAGCTTATTGCATACAATAATAAATTCATCAATATGTGCATGTTCAATAGTGTCTTTAATTTGGTTCCATTCGTTTACGCTTCTACTTGTTCTTCGTTTCAATTCATCCTCCCAAAACTTCTATAAAAACATTACCATCTTCACAAACTTCATCCGCAATACTTGATTACAGTAATCTTGATCGTTATTGCAATTCGTTCCAGATGATTTCTTCTTCGGAAATTGCGTTGGTGTTACGTCCTTCTTGTGTATGGCTCACACCATCATCTCCCCAACATTGAATTCTCTCCCATGTTTTCTTCAGCTGTGGTTAAATCGATGATCAGAGCTGCCTGTACCGGGATATTATGATCAACTGTAAGGTCGATAATCGGGACCTGTACTGCGATATCATCCCCTGTTAAGTCGATGATAGGGAAATCGTCCCCATATAAGTCACCATAAAAAAATTGTCTCAAATCTAATTGTTCTTGAGCACTCATCATAAGGCATATGTCATGGTCTATTTGGCTTGGTCTATCAAACTCGTTTAAAATTGATCAAGTTTTCCATAAATGTCCAAAAAAATTGTTTCTAAACTTTTTTTTTTGCGAACATCTCTACATGCTTATCAACTTTTTTGTTTTCAAAAACATTATCTTCATATACATTGTTATTGTTTGCTGCCATGAAGTTGCGGTGGTCGTATTCATCGTAGGCTGGCTCGTTCAAAATTTCATCTTTAACACTAATAAGATTGATTGGAAAATCGTCGGAATTACTGCTCATAGGAAGGCTTGCAAAAGGTCTACATGGTAAAGCCTGCATTTAGCATAAAGTTATCTTAATCTGCATAAAATGAGGAGCAGGACTATACCATTTGTAGAACAGTTGTGTTGCACACTGTATTCCATTTTTAGAGCTACTTTTTGTGGCCTTTTCTTCTCCAAGCATTTCTATGTGCGTAATATGTATTTCTAGTAACCCATCGATGCTGAATTCTTTGTATGACTGTAATACTTGTGATACTCACAGTATGTAACAATAATAGGCCTATAATGACTTTACTGCCTCCCTGGTTGTTAGCTGGCCAGCTATGCCTTCTACATTGAATCTTTTGTCAATTTTCCAAATTGTGAAGTCCACCCATATTTTTCCTTGCCATATACAGTACATAGTTTTGTGCACAACTGAACTTGGTTAATTCCGTTTGGTTCATACTAAGGTAGGTGCAAAGAACTTTCCACCAATCTTTACAAAGTCTTTCTGCAAAAAAAATTTAAAGAGCATTTTAATATCTTCGATCTAATCAACATTCTACTAGTTACATAGCCATATGGTACAGTTTTTAACTCATCTAAAATTACAATTTTCCTCGATTTTGATTTTGACTCGGTTGTCGTTATGTTTTTCTGCTCCAACTCTCCTGATCATAGGGCTCAAAGTTTCATAGTTTATCTTTTGTGAATTTTGATAATTTAATGCAAGACCTTTCACTGTACAAACTGTTTTCACTGAATCAGTTTATATACATATACAAAACATGAAATATTTGACCATCTTTTGGGTCATTTTCATTTGTTAACTCCCCAAAATAGTCTCCCAATAGGAGGTGGCCATTCATCTTTGTTAGTAGTCTTAGAAACAAAAACACAGGAATCTGTATCTTGGTACAATACAATACATACAAATATAAATTTTGGGTTTGAAAGATGCCCCATCGACTCTACACGGTCCAAGTTGTTGCTCACCCCCGTTACGTGCGTGATTAATATGAATTCCCCTTTGTTTTGACTCGTAACTTAACCACTCAATACTAGCAAATGAATGATTATCTATAGTCTGATAACCCGAAGGTGGGAATATAGCTATAGTGTTTGGTTGTAAAAAATTCCTAGCAAACACATAATTGCAGACTGAAGCTATGGTAATTAAACCGTTAGAGAATGGATTTACTCCTTCTTTATCCTTACCATCGTTAAGCGTGGTAGCTTGCTTAAAAATATGTCTAAACGATAAACATCGCCTTAAAATGTCTACATCACTTATGCAGTAATCAATGAGTTCTTGTCTGAGGTTAAATACTTCGTTTTGTTTCTGATTTTACCAAGCTAGAAAATCACCCCGGCCGATTCTGACATCTTATCGGGATCGTATATAGCTACATCGGGGTAAGAACCCACATAATCTTTATTTTCGATCGTATTGAACCTATGGGGAAAGTATCCCTTCTTTAATTCTTTGATACCGAACGTTTTAGGTAATTTTGATAGGGGCATAGGAAGGAAAGAAAGCGAATCAATAAATCGAATCGATGTATCCTTAACTTTGATCGAAATTAATTTTCCGCCCCTAGAAACAACTTCCGGAATAACACCATAAGAGTGTAAGTATTGCATGATGAAGTAAAGTTCTATTATACTCTTGGAAATTATGAGCAATAATATTACATTTTGGTTATTCGCAAAATTGATAGCATGAATCCTCACCATAGAACATTTTGGTTTTATCCCCGCATATTTCGCATTGATCAGAATCTTTATCATCGTTAATACAATTTAGACAGCTTTTTTGAAGGACGCATAAGTTAGGATGGTGAACCCCCGTTTATTGAGTACATTCAAAATCGAAAAAGAAATATTTTTCTATAGTCTTCTTATCTACCTTGCTAGTTTTGTTAGTTTTCTTTTCAACCACCTTTACAACAGAGACCCGTCTCTACCGTCGTCATACAAACTCTACATACATATTCACTGCATTTATGGCCCTTTTTAATATAGCGATTACCAGTTTTACAAAGTTCCTCTGAATCGCAAAGGGTTGTTCTACCTTGTATAGCGGTTCTATGATTATCAAAACATTTTTGATTTTTAAATGAACGTAAGCACTCATTACATTTGACGACGGTAGAGGGGTCTATAGAAGGAATGCAATTGTGCGAGAGGCATAACTCGCACACGAACTTACAATTATGGTTAAAATTGTTATTATAACTCTTAAAACAAAGGTTACAAAAATGTCTTACTTCAAAAAAGGCTGTTAGTTTTGTTATTAAATCGTAGTGATTATCGTGGTGATATAAGTAAATCTGTTTTTCTCTATGTTCACCACTAAAAATTACCGAGTGAAGATTGTCCCGGGAGATCACAATGATTTGATATTCGGGTAGAACATCCTGAAAACGTTTAAGCTCACTTATCCCACAAAGTCCCTTATCTACACCAGCCCTTCGTAATAATTGTTCAGCCTCTTGTTGCTGATAATATCTACCCCGTCTAATTTGATCCCATTTAGATTTATTATTAATTTTGTCTTCAAACATACTGTAGAAATACCTGTTACAATGGCTTTAGAGCAGCAAACGTTTTCATCGTTCTCGTCTTTAATTCGAATCAAACATCGGGAACCCCCCACAGCCTTATCTAAACCCTTTTTGAACTAACGATTACCACCACCAATAGGCATAGGAATGTGTAAAATATTAAATTGTAAATCGTCCCCCACTAAAATGTTCAAATGAGACTGAAGGACTTTAGAAATAGCCGCAAAAATTATTTCAGGAGTAATTCGTTCCCTCATCATAAATGGTAAGGAAATTGGGATATCTAAACCATTGGCTCTAATAACGAACTAATTAAGCGTAGGTAAAATTTCAATAACTCTCACATCATCTAAACCTATTAATGTAACCAAATTAGGCAAAACAGAAACTTAGCTTACCAATTTTTTAGCGTTTCCCAGATCCGTATTGAACTATAACATCTTCATCGTCATGGTAGTTTTCATCGTCTTCCTGTTCACTTTCATACATCATCTTCTTATGTTTACCTAGACCATGCTACCGTCTCGCTCTGTTACTATCACATTCACTTTCTACGTCTTCCTCCTCTTTATCATCTTCAAACATCATTTTCTTAAATTTACCTTGGCTGTACTGTCGTCTCGCGTTGTAATTATCTTCTTTATTAATTTACTATGCTTTCCTAAACCTAAACGTCCATTTCTCTGAATTTTAAATACAGCCTGTTCACACGCAATGCGTATGTCATCATCAGAATTATTATTGTAATAAGGATAGCGACTGGTAAAATCAACGTAATGAATTTTTTCATTATCTTTTACCTCCAAAAACTAATCGCGCTGCATTTGTTCTCCTACCAAAGAAAGCGTCTCGTGGATTAAGAATAGGATGGATAAAAAGTACATCAAATATTTCTTGTCGATAAAGAGGGGGCAAGGAGTTCTTTATTTCTTTCCACTCATGTTCTCAAATTTCAACATACTCAAATTGGGAGAAATTTTGCTTTAGAAAATCAGCTTTTTTCAAAATTTTTAGATATGAATCAGTTGTCTTCACTCCAGTGATTGGATTCTTCGAATCTGGTCTATAACATTTTTGACACCCATGAAACATACACCCCATAAATTTAAAAATAATTTTTAAATAGGGTCCCTTATTTCCATGTGAAGGCTGAAAAATAAAAAAATAAATAAAATGATAGGCTAATAGAGTATTTTAATCCAACTTATCTCTATAAGGTAAATGAATAACTTCTTCCACCATTTGAGGCTCCTGTGAATAGGAAGATTTGTCCAAATCAATCAGTCAGCCTTGTCTACCTCTCCGATGTATTGTGCGTAGAGTTCAATGGCACACGGCTTGGTAACTCTACAAAAGACATGTTTTTCCCTTGTCCGCCTCTGAAAATTCAAAGAATTATGCACAGAAGACATTAGTGTTACCTTTTTTGTGTTTGCTTTGTCACGTCCTTCCATGAAGTGAAAAGTTGAGTATCGGCATCAATCCTCTCAAAAACGGGAGTTCCAGGAGCAGGGTTTGCCTGTTTGATGACATCTGGTACTCCTACCTGGTTGGTTCTCAAGGTTCCGCATGCACCTAAACTTGCACCTGCAAGGGATGAAAAAAGCTGGGGAAGAAAAATAATTATCCATGTACACATGATGTTTCTTACCTATTGGTTCACACACCTTCATTACTGTCCTTTGTGTAGCACCAGGCCCATCTTCGCCTCGACCGATATACAAATTCTGGTTGTAAACATAACCA